ATATATATATATACACTGCTCAAAAAAATAAAGGGAACACTTAACGCATGCTAACTCCCGATCTTAATCAAAGAAATATTCGCATTGAGTACTTTGTTCTGTACAGAGTTGAATGTTCTTCACAAAAGTTTGATTTACTTGGACTTAGCGTGCGTTGTTTAAGTGTTCCCTTTTTTTGAGCAGTGTGTGTATATATTTCCCCCCAGTGGCCCTAATCCTTTTTCGAACAAAACACTTTAAATATTTTAATTTCAAAATGATTTCACAATGTTCTTCAATGTAAATATCACATAAGGTTCATTTTGTACTCATTAYAGTAAAATAAAAAGCACCCACCAGCGAGCTGTTTGCCCATGTTCTCCAGCTCTTTAGAGAAGAGGGGGTCGCCGAGCAGCAGGCCCGTCTGCCCCACAGAGCTCCCACCTCTCACAGCCTTCAGATCAGCGGCCCAGACAGTGCGACGCTAGTAAGTGAGAGCAGAGGGGGGAGAAAGAAAGTCAGTCACATTAGAGGAAAGACCCTTCAATTAACTCTTTATATAATTTTCAGCTAATGCTGAAAATATCTGAGCCATATCTGCTGAGAAAAAAAAGAAGCCAATTATTATTTTATGGGCTTTAGAAAAACAGGAGAAACCACAGCGAGTGTAGATGAAAGCATACGGTGTGGAGGGAACTTTGTTAAGTGAATGTTTGCCACGAGACAGTCAGTAGTGGTTCAGAAACACTTTTTTTTCAACTATCAGCAGGGGCTTGCATGCAGACTCGTGTGTTGGCACTGAGCCTGTCAACAGCAAATTGTGCGACGGCGATAAAGCAGCAATAAATTCTGAATTGCTCCCCCGAGAGTGCACAGAGTCTTCAAAAAAAAAAAAAAAGGCATACATTCTAAAGAATAAAAAAGTTCATTTTTTTGGCAGTTCAGCTCACTCTACTCCAATACAAAGTGTAAAATTAGGAAGAAAATGTGTGTCAGCTTTGCCAAGTCCTGCAGTGGCAGCATGCCTAATCCTACAGTTTACTCCTTTGTGTGGCCAGATGATCTGTAGAGTAAAACCGAGTGCCCCTCAGCTCCGAACACAGGTGAGAAAAAAAAACCCAACAGCCAAAATCTCCCCACCTGTTTGTTTAGTTTACACACGAAAAGTTAGGATACCCCCGATGCCAGCGCTGACATCACTGGGGGCGTTTAACGAGCAGACTTGACTAAGTGCTGACACAAACGGTTCAGGAACATCTGGTGAGGAACATRTAGTGCATTCTTTGAGTGATACTGATGTGCCATACTGTTATTTCCAAAGTGAATGAATGTGTGCTGTCGTTTCAAACAAGACTCGCTTTCTGAAGAACATTGTGATGAAATCAAGAGATTGTTTTGTAGATTTTGTTCTCTTTAAATTTGAGCATGCTCAAAAGTTCTGCAGCACGGATATCATCATGGTGGCAGTGCATCTGGGTCCTGGTGAAGTTTTGGGGACAGTGGTGACATGACATGGGCGCGACGCATGGGAGGCGACGTCTCCATTCATTTCCTATGGAACTTGTGTGATGAGGTGACAATCACTTGCCCTCCTCCAGCCAAGCGACCGGAGGAATCTGTTCACGTGAAATTTCACGCTCGTAGATATGCACACGTACGCTTGCGACGTGACATATGAAAGTTAAAAAAGTTCAACTTTTGTCACTTTCTCATGGTGCTACAGCCAATCAGCAAAGGTTTCATTGATTGACCAATGAGCGGAGAGTATGCCTCACACTGCAGTTAGCTACCACCTTCAAGATTATTAGCTCTGTCAAACTTTATAATTTTGTATGACACTTCACAAAGTGATTACACAAATAGGCAGCCATATGGGAATTTGTTGGCGCCAGGTTGACGTTGTCCRGTAAGTTTTTCCTCTTAAAATCGTATCCTGGTGTGTGTTTGTTTTTCATTATCATCAGCATCACAAGATTTGTTTAGTTTACACGTTCRTCAGGGGCGGTTCTGGGGACAGGGCCACAGGGGCATTGGCCCTTGCTGAAATCTGATTGGCCCCCTGAAATGCCCCTGCCCTGTCACTCATCTGTCCTTTGCCTGAGAGTAATGATGGGGGGTGCAGTTCCATGCCCAAACACTAGAGGAGCTAACGAGTCAAACAGTAAAGTCCAGCATGAATCAGTCTTACAGAAGTCTTCTCTCTTCTCTTCTTATCTTCTTTAAAAGACTTGAACAATTTTGCAAAAAATATCTTTCAACTAGCAAATAATGGCTTCATTTTCTCTCATGCTTTGAGAATATTTTTTCCATGTACAGTAAAAATGTATGTAACATTGATATGGAGAATTAAAGCTTTTTTAATAACATTACATTACATTACAATTGTTGGATCATATGTGACTGGTTAAATTTACACACCTTACAAAAATTTAGGATTTATGTACAAGGATGTTGAACAAATATTTGGCCCCTCTATGAATATTGTGGCCCCTTGATGGCCCCTTACTCAGAAAAATCCTATATCCGCYACTGACGTCCGTAATGCAAATTGTGCTTTTTTTTTTTGGTTTGTTTTTGCCAACCACCAAAGAACTCTACAAGAAACAGTAGAAGAACCAATCAAATCTCTTGAAGGCAAGCAACCTGAGAGTGCGACTCGCAAACTGCCATCGCGTCACGTGTGTCGGGTTTCACCCTGGTTGTGATGACAGCCGTTAATCTGTGTCGTTTGTCACTCCCCGTGTCGAGCCTATTAGTCGCGCTGGCAGACATGTCAAGCCTTTCAAGAATTTACCTGTATCTTGACCCTCAAAAGTTTGTAGTTTTCATAAAAAAATTTGTAGTATTTGTACGCGATACAACGTGGGGGTGACAAGCGGACGGCCGGACCACGGGGGAAAAAAAAGAACATGGGGCAGAGATAACAGCATATACACTGAGAGGAGCAGAGAAACGAGTGTGAGGAGAGGTGGCAAACTTATTTCTAGCAGCGGAGCAGGTTGGGAGATGCTTATTTATGTATGTATGTCCTACAGGCTCTGAGAACGTTTGCCTGCAAAATGGGGGGAAATCCGTATAATTCACGAATAATCCGTACAACTTGACATACGTGCGCTGGTCTAGGCTATAACTGTGATTTTGACAAGGTGATGAAAACAACCAGAGATGAAGCTGCATGCTGATGCTGTCTGAGAGTCATGCCAGGGTGGGTGAATTGTGGTGGTGGAGAAAAGCATGACTAAAAGCGTTGTAACAGGAGGTGGAGGTGTTCCTAAATTGCCATGATCCAATCGTGTTCTGCCAGGTGGTCATGGAGAGCGCAGCGGCGTCATCAGTCAGAAAGAAGAGGGTCTAAAATTTGGCTATTTTTGGTCATCAGAACAAAAAACTGCATCGTTTTTCACAGCTACATCCCATCTGCTCTACAGAGCCCATGTGCAGCTGCGTGACGCGCCAAAGTGGAAGAAAAACGATTTTTGTAGTTTATGGTTTTCTATTTAAAAGATCCAAATGCTAAATGAAAAGATCACTGCCAGCATGAAGAAGCTTGACAGATGTGAGAAATGTTTCCAATGTAATCCTCAACACAATGTAACAATCAGTTTGTGTTTGAAGAAGGAAAAATACATCAAATAAAATCATAACCTGGCTAAGTTTGTACTCTGCTTTGAGTTTTTTATTCAGTGCAACCTGCTCCAGCAAACAGAGATGAAAGGAGTAACCTGTGAAGATTGGCACCGTCAGACTTTTRTCTTCCACTATTGTATCTGGGTCTCACATGGGAACACTATATATTAAAATGAAACATTGTAATGCAATCCCTTTACAGGAGGGGTCTGCTTGGTTTTGTTCTATAATTCAAACACAAACTAGGCTGAAATAAAGCAGAGAAAGCCGTTATTCTCTGATGTATGTCCGACCACGAAACACTGGGTCCATGGCACCGATCTCCACGCCTGTCAGATACATGAGGCATTTTGTGGCAGCAGAACCACAATGCCACAAGCCAATGCTTAATTACAGTCCTCAAAAAAAAAAAAAAAAAAAAAAAAAAACAGCAACGCAAGTTGAACATCACAGCTGAATCCACTCCCCAGTTTTTCTTTTTAATTTCTTTTTCTTTTGGTGGTATCTCCCCAAATCCAGCGGCATGACATCATCTTCTTGCCTCCCCCACCCCCCTCCCACCCTTGGTCTTTTCAGCTCTCGCAAACAAGGCCACCAACAGATCCCTGTTTTCTTTTTAATTTCCTACATGCTTTAAAAATCACYGTGGAACTCTAAATCATTACGTTTTAATACTTCACAGCCAAGTTTTGTTTAGCAAACCAGATCCAGAGTTGACAATTTTATTAAAAGTTCTTTGGGGGCCTTGGAAAGCATTTCTTACTTTATTGAAGCAATAGATACAGATTTACCATTTTTTTATTGGTTGCAGTGAAATGCAAAGCAGCGATAGTGTCTCTCTGTGTGTGTGTACATGTCTACTGTTGGTGTGGAAGCATTTTACACTAGWCCATACTTGTGAGAACGTTTTGTTGTGAGGACATATAACATGGTCCACCCTTACAAAAAAGCATTATAAGCAAATGTCCTTTAAGTACATACATTTTAAACAAAAAATAAGAATACACATTCAGTTTACTTTTTATGTACTTCAGAGATGAGATATACTTAAAGTTTGTGTTACCTGTGCTTGGTAGATAAAATACACTTGGGAAAATAGATTTCATTTAAACCCAAGAATACGTAATGATATGTACTTGAGGTATACATCTTTTTGGTATGGACACACAAAGGGAAAGCCCATTTGTGGGCACACAATGCAAGTGCACACCAAAATAGAAATACAGGTATTACTATTTATTGGATGTACATCTACAACTGATTATAGTTTGAAGTCAACCCCATTCAAGACGGCCGCCATATATAACAAATGACAACCATATATAGCTGCCAAATATGGCCATTTACAACATACATTTTTAGCTAAGTAACCCTAAAAACACAAAATGACTGTAAATGTTACAAATATTGGCCTAAGATTTGGTATGGTAGTAGTTGAGCATCATTCCTACATACTCCAAGAGCTACACACAGTGATATTTTTTCTTAAAACACAACAGAGAATGATGATCTTAGTTTAAAGTTCTGCCATGAAAGGCAGTAGGCRGTACGCATTCCTAGAAGAGCTTTTATGAAACAGTATAACAGTAAGCTTTAAAGCTTCCTGTCCAGTCTATGTTTAWCAGGACCGTACTTTATATTCTGGGACTGCAGACTGGAGACTAAAACAAGTTGTGCTGTACAGTCACTAAAGACTTCGAACAAACCGGATATAAAAAGAACTGCAAGCCATTACCCTTCTCAGATAACATCTGTGCACAAACACTACAATCAAAACCAAACTACATTTATTGGGTTTGGTGAAGCCATATATGTTTGGAAAGTCACATGGAAATCATCAACACAAAGAATCTGTTT